GAGGAGGGAGGGGAGAAGGCAGAAAAGATTTCCCAAGGGAAAATCTTTGTAGACAATACTCAGGACTGAACTGCAGCCATGGTTCATTCTGCAGCAAAACCAGATGCTTCCAATGTTCGAAATGTGGGCTGATCAGCGCATGAACTGTTCTCACGGAGAGAGCGATAAAGATTTTCTAGCAATCAGCCAGGGCCATGATCAGGCACTGTACTTCTGGCTCATTTAAAGGATTTCTGGCTGCCTTTGGTGGGGCAGCACCAGCGAGGGAACCAGCAGAGCCTCCTACATCAAGAGCAGTTTTTGACTGGGAATTGCTAGGGGCCAAACCCAGGGCCTTGCAGACAAAGCACACCTTCCCCCTGCTAAGGCAGATTCCTTGAGGGCTGCAGCCTCAAACCAGGACTTGCGTTCCTTCTGCACAGGTGCGCTTGCGAACAGCTGAATCTTATTTCAGCCCTGATGGCGGGGCACCATCTTTCATCACAGCTGGAAGGTACAAAGCGGCTTGGAGCAGGCTGGGCATTGCCCACCCCCTCCCTAACCACATCGTCTTCCAGCATCTGCAGCCAGTTTGCTCTGTCCAGCAGCAGAGCCAGCCCTGTGCTTACCTGGGTAAGGTACTCCAAGCCAGGGGGGATGCTGGTTGCCACAGGCAGGTAAGGGGTGATGGCCACGTGGGGATCTGGCGGCTGGTGATGTTGAGGCGTAGCAGCGTGGTCCCGATATCCTCGGGGTGGAGGCTGGGGCGGAGCAACGTGGCCAGCCCCGTGGCCAGCAGCAGAATAGACATTGAACCCTGGGCTTGGTGCAGAGGGCCCAGCGTGTGGTTGTGGCACAACGGGGTAAGGGGGAGAAGCAACAGGATATCCTGGCTGTGGAACATGGTACCCTGTAATGAGGACCAAAGAGAGAGCAGCAGTCACAAGAGACCCATCACGCCCCGACTCCTGAAACTGTCGCTGTGCCTTTAAGCAGAGCAGGTGGCTTTCTCCCACCTACAAACAGTGGCCGTTTCCAAAGAGCACAAGGGCAGAATGGGAAATGTAGTCCTGGAGGGAGGGAGTCGGTCCCTGAACAGCCCAGGAAGAAAAAGGAGAAAAACAGAATTCTGCTCGCAAAGCAGTTTCCCCCCGAAAAGTCCTTTGTCCCTTTTAAAAGAACAACAGGTAAGAGACAGAGGAGATTCTGTTTGCAAGGATTTAAGGGAGGGTTTATGGAAGGGGGCAAGCGCAGAGAGAAACCGGAAGGCCCATAAAGATGCAAAAGGCGGGCGGTGGGCCCTGGGCTGAAGGAAAACGACAACGAAAGGAAGGTGAAATTTAGCAAGGGAGGAAGCAGAGATGGGTCATAAGCCCAGGTCAGCCGTCCCCCACCCGGCTCTGCCAAATGTGTTAGGACTGCAGCTCCCAGAATCCCCTAGCCAAAGGCCAGGTTAGCTGAGAATTCTGGGAACCGCAACTGGCACCCGGGAGGAAGGCAGTGCCACTAGGCAGCTTTTGGAAAGAAACAGAAGGAGAGCTGAGGAAGCTGGAAAACGGCGACATAACGCAGGAAAGTCTCCGACACCGAGCACAGGGCCTGGTGGGGATCAGGCGGGGGGAAGCGGGGGCAGAAATAACGCATGGAAAAAGGGACCCCGAGGTTGGGAGGGCAGAGGCCGCTCCCCTGAGCTCTTAATTTCTGAAAGGAGGGCACTGCCTCTGCCTTTGCCTCAAACCTAGGTGGACTGATCAGCCGCAGCTGACCAAGGGGTGGTGCTCTCTGCACTTGCTCAGGAGTCTTCCTTTAGGCAGGGATGGAGGGGAGGGGAAGGGAACGAGCACAAGAGGGGGCTGGAGGGTGAAGGAAGCGCTTCTCCTGCAAGTCTAGCAGGGCCGAAGGTTGCTCAGACAGGTCCTGGACTCATTCATTGATTCAATTTCTATAGCCGCCCTTCTCGCATTTGCGACTCCAGAAGGACATCAAGATCGAGGCCAGCCTGACCCCGGGGGTGGGGGGGATGATGTTTCATAGGGTCACAGGAGTTACATCATTACATCAGGAGTGGAGGGAGTGACTCAGCCTCCCCCCCGCCCCCCGGTTTCCTATCACACCCAGGTGCATTCCAGCCGCGCCCTCCATCCACCCTCCTGGCCCTGCCCGGCTTCTGGCAAAACAGCTACAAAGGCACCGGGCATGCCCACATCATCGCCAGCTCCGCTTTCTGTGAATGGGCCGTCCCCCCTCTCCCTCCCTCCCTCCCGGGCAGCTCAGTCCTGCACCCCCCTCTGGGGTTTCTGGGAAGCGGGCAGGTACTGCAACTCCCATCATGCCCTGCTTGCAGTCCCCAAAAGGCAGCAGGGTGGGAAGAGGGCAACAGTTCTGGGAAGCATGCAGGAAAGGCACCAACAAGCCATAATTTTTGGACTATATTGATGTCATTCTCGCCTTTCTGTTGACACAACACTCTGGACGACTTGCAGCAGTTAAAAAATACACTTGGTAGAAAGTTAAGCCTAAAACAAGGTAATTAAAATCAAGGCAAAACTATTTTCAAAAAAGTTGGCTAGTCTTTCTGGTTTATCTCCAGCCTCCGCCAGGCAGCTAAACTGCTCCCAAAGATGGAGGTTCCTGTTAGCTCACACATCCCTTCTGCCCTCAATGAATGTTTGTAACTAAGCTCTTCCCCTTCTAAAGCCATCCCTTTGGGCCAATGCAAAATTTATTCATTCCACAGAAGGACTGCACAGGAGAGAACAATTTTTCTCTGTCCACTGCCCCCCCGCCATTTTTCCTGTTTGGCAAACCTTCATTCTGTCTCCTCTCATTGGCCTTTTCCCAAGGAAAAATAAACTTTTGACAGCAGTTTAACATATTTAGTTTAGTTTCTCCTCTTCCCAGCCACCTGTTGCTGCAAATGAGCAGTAAAAAGAAATCATAATATTAGTACTTGGGAAGCAAAGAACATAAACAGAAAGGCTGTGGGCAATTCAGTCACAGCTCATCAGATCCGGAGAACTTTCCTACTTAGCAAACGATCAGGAAACCCACCTGCCTCGACAACTTTCCTTCTGAAGCAGCCATTATGTCTTGTGGCAAGGAGTTCCTGAGTCTACCACCGTGCCCTCTTAAGACGTTTTTCCCCTTCTGTCCGCCCTGAGTCTTTCACCACTCAAGCTTCACCCAAATTCCCTGTTGACTTTTAGGTTTACAGAACTGTTTGCTCCTGCTGATGATGGCCAAGTCTCTAGAGCAGTTTTTCAACCTAGCCAACTTTAAGATGTGTGGACTTCAAGTCCGAGAACTGGGAATGGAAAATTCCAAACTGGAACTGAAATGCAGACTGATTCACACCCCCCTGGAAAGCAGCCTCATTTTGGCCCACAGGAACTTGCCAACTGCCAATTCATGGCTTGGCCTCCCCCACCACCTGCCATGCCACACTAAGCCCCCACCTAATTTTTTCCCGACAGATCCTGCCCAAGAACCGGCACTCCAGTTTGGCGATCTTGGGCCCCCTAAACTCTTCTCCAAGAAACCTGAAAGAGAAGGGGCGCGTAAACCGCATCGAAGCGCAACCCTCTGGTCTGGCATTTGCTGCCGAAATCCCAGAAATTGCCCAGGATTAGAAATGCAAGGGTTGGGAGGCACGGGTCAAACAGCAAATACCACTAGGCAGAAAATGCTCCCCTCTCCAAAGGCAAAAGGTAACGGAAACGCACATGGGGAAATGGCGCTTCCCCATCCCCTTAACGAGGCAGTGCCGTGCAAGAGCAAGGAGGGGGCAGAGGCAAGAGAAGAGCAGCGAACCTGGCGCTGCCATGGTCCCCGTCTTCCGAGGGAAGGGATCCCGCTCCTGGCGATGTCGGATCAGCACCCGCCTGCGCCTTCCATCGGGAGATCCCTGCAGGTGGTTCAGAGGCCGCTGTCAGTGGTCTCCCTCCAAGCTCTGCTGGGTCCCCAGATAACCCTGTCGAAGAGGGAGAGAGCTGGGGTGAAACAGTGACTCCGCTTAACAGAAGGGGGGGCTCAGCATCTGCCCCCAAAGGTCCTGAGGGAAGCGGACCGCAGCACATCCATCGCGCCATCTGACCGGGTTCCTCCACAAACCGCCTCTCGATTCATCAGATCAGCCTCCTCCTAGCCGAGAACGCGTGGGACTGGAGCTCCCACCTGCCAACGGACTGGCTGAGCACCGTGGGAGTTGAAGTCCAACACCCTGGGAAAGCGCTGGGTTGGAGAAGCACCCCAGACCCATCCACTGCAGCGGGCCTCTGCTGGGCTCAGGCGGGCACTGCCTTCCCCAGGCAACCTCAGCTGGCATCCCCCAGGCCAACCCGCGCTGGACTCCACGTCTGCAGACTCCTGCCTGGCCTCGCTCGGGATTTCTATGAATTCGCGGCAGAGGCCAGCGGGGAGGCAGCCAAACGCACCAGGACTCAGACCAATGGAACTGCCCATACCGTTGGGTAAGGCTCCGAGTTCTCACCGGCCAGAAATCCAACCGGTAAGGCCTTGCCCGCTGAGGCCAAGGGGAAGCGGTTCCTTCTGCGCTGCCCTTAAAAACGGGCCCCTTTAAGAGAAGCGCCAGGCCAGAGATCTGCGCCCGCGTCCCCTTCGGGGAGGCCAGGGAAGCCCCGGCG